TTAAAGGTTTTAATTTGTGTAAAAAAAGAAAACTTCTACTTCTTTGGCTCGAAGGGCTTGACTAGGTATTATCTTCCTTATAACTCTAGTGTTTAGGATTTGAAAGAAACGCATGTACATCATCGGCGAGGTCTGTCCAAAAGCATACTGTATGAGATTATGAAATTGTTTTTGTCATCCTCCCTCTAAAGGCTTGTAACTTTTAAAACAAGAGTTCAATATCATAAAAGGAGTAAAAAGAATAATTTAAATATAATGAAAATGAATGGATTAATTCAAGACAAACATATTTAATGCATTAATGAAACAAAGTTTTACATTAATAGATAATTGTTTGAATAAAAGAAATTACAAATGAAAATTCAAAATGAACATGACGCTCTCAATGATTCAGCATAGGAGCAGTGATCACGTTTGGAGTCTCTGGAGGGTCAAACTCAATCTCCTTGGCGTCAATCAAATTATGAATCTTGTACTTCAACGCCCAACAATCGTTAGTATCATGCCCAGGACTACCGGAATGATAAGCACACGTTGCATTAGGATTGTAGTTAGGAGAAGAAGTTTTGGGGTTTGGATGAGGTCCTATCAAGGTAATCCAATTCATCTTCAATAAGTGTTGTAGCGCTTGATACAGCGGGATATTGATGTTGGTAAACTGTCTTTTGGGCTTGTCTGGCCTTCGTTGATTTCCTCTTTGTTGTTATTGATGCGACGCAGAACCAGAGATCAGGACTGCCCCCACGTGTTGGTCATGACGACTCTTTTACCATACACAGTGTTGGACTCTTTCTTCCCATTGTATGGCTTTTTTTGAGCATCAGAGGGTGTAGCTCCTTGGATCCGATTAGGTGTTTGAAGAAAGGTCCCGTCAAGGTTCCCATAAAGATGTCAATCAGCTCCCTGTCAATTAAAGGGGGTTTCACCCTACCAGCCAGATCTCTCCACTTTTGGACGTATCCTTTGAAGCTCTCGTTGGAACCCATGGTCATGTTCTGCAATTGCACACGAGTTAGTGCAAGATCAGCGTTGTACTGGTACTGCTTGTAGAAAGCAACAACTAAATCCTCCCAGGTGTGGATGCGAGAACTCTCCAATTGATAGAACCATTCAATTTGAGTCCCTACTAGGCTCTCTTGGAAGAAATGGATCCACAACTTCGGATCAGTTGTGTATGGCTAAATCTTGCAGACATAAGACTTTAAGTGCATCTTAGGGCAAGAGACTCCATCTTACAGGGTAAAGGTAGGGATTTTAAACTGTGGCGGGATGACCACTCCAGAAACCAAACCCATGTCTCCTAAATCCAAGCCAGGTATCTACTGAATCTCCATAGCATTGAGGCGATCCTCTAACTGTTTGTACTTGTCATCAGTGGAAGGATATTGTTCCTCAGAGTAGTCAGCTTCGACTTCATCAATCTCCAGACTGTTGTCTTCTTCATGACTATCCCCCATGTTGGATGGAGTTGGAAGATATAGAGCTCTCTTGACTGGTCCTCTAAGTCTTCTTCCCAAGTTCAGAACGCCTACTAACTTCTTGGACTTTTTCTTCTTGTCTTTGAGAATAAGAGTCTTCAGGTCCTCTTGCCCCTTAGCCAAAGCCAAGAACATTTGTTGGATTAGGAGTTTTGAGCTTGGAGATCTTTCACTGTTTGTTCCATATCCATCTTACTGAAATAAACAGTAGGAAGATAAGGAGGCCCGTATGGGAGAAACCTGTCATGATATGATGCATGATAAGTGGATATATGTTTTCAAATGGTTACTTTCTTCCTAAAATGGAAATAAGCATGGGCAATGCATTGAATGCTTGACTTGAAGCTTCTTACAGCTGTGCAAACATTTAATTATGGAGTGCCAAGCAAGTTTGAGGCCTAAAAAGCAAATATTGTGCAGCCTAGCATGGATTTGAATTCTTGTTCATCACAAAATTCTGCATTGTAAAACAACTTAAAACCCTAACTTCTGACCTTCTATTCTCCTTGCTCACAAATGATCTCAAGGATTTCTTGGACTTTTTAGAAATCTTATACTGTTCTCTACAACTCCTTTTTGAAACACTTTTGCAAAATCCAAATGGAACTATGTGAAACTTGGCTCAGAAGTTAGGTCAAAATCCTGACCAAAATGCTCAAAATTTCACTAAGTATTTTGGTTTCATGACCATGATTTCATGGATTAATAACATGAAATCCAATCATTTCTAGGAGGAGTTGTGTAAAGAAATGTTTTATATCTCATTGAGATCTACAACTTTCATGTTGAAAGTTTCTTTTGAATCATCTTGCATCATGGTGAAAAATTGGCTCAAAGTTGTGAAAAAAATATGAAGTTTTCAACACTTAGAAAAATTTCTAAGTTTGGAAACGTTGACTTTTCAAAATGAAATCTCGACTTTTTTATTTCTTTATGAACAAGTTTCATGTTTTAACATGTTTTGATGAATTGTGATCATTGATACTTGATTTTTACCAAAAAGTCAAAGTTTGACTTTTTAGTATGCAATTGACTTTTGATCAGTTGACTGAAAATCAACTATCAAACAAATGACCTTGAGAAATATTTTGAGTCATGAAATTAGGTCAAAATGATGCAATTGAATCCTTGAGATCATGTTTCCAACCAATCAACCATTTGTTAGGTCAAAAATCTGAAATTGCCTTTTCTCAGTCAAAACCCTAATTTTGACCATTTTGCTCTTTTGATGATCTGATCAAATTTCTTGAGGAAGGTCCAAACTTGATTAAATGACATATATGAGTTCAAAATGTTGATATGGATAAAAAATTATGAATTTTGATTGTAAATTGACCACAGTTCACTTTTTCCCCAATACAGCTGATTTTTATGTCAACTGATCAATTGACTGAGCAAAAATGTGATCCAAGACTTGAAACTTGACATGAGAAATCTTAAGGGTCCATAATGATCCATGAAAGTAATATGAGGCATTAAAAGTTCAATTATCCTTGTGCAATCTTAAACCCTAATTTCAGTCATCAGAGCTTGAGGAGGTGTCTTGAGCTGATCAACCCTAGTGCAGTCTTGAACCAAAGGAGATCTTGTGAGAAAATACTTGATAAATGAGAGGGAAAATTTTGGGGTACAAAAGGTGCAAATAAAGTTTAACAGGGGTGTATAAGAGCAATAAAATCTAGCACAAGGCCAAAAATGCACCAAAGAGGTTGACAGACGTAAGCTCAATCGATTGACACATTATAACAATCAATTGGAAAAGCTTGGCACACATAATTTCATATCAAATCCAAGCCAAACATAGTCTCTAAGTCAATCAGGTCCCAACATTGATGATACACGTTTAATATGCATAAAGATCTAATTATACAATCGATTGAGCTCTTAGCCAATCGATTGGCACACCTAATTAGGAATGATTTTGAGTCATTCGGAATACACGATTGTCACGCCTATTAATCTTAACAGTCACTACTAATTGCTTGCCATAAATACATGATCAAATCACTAGGAAGCTCGCTATAAATATGTATTCATCTCCCATTCTTTTGCATTGCATATTTTTCTCTCAAATTGTGTAAGTGTGAGATTATTCTCTCAAAATCATCATGGCTCCTAGAAGGCTAAGTTTTTCCTCCAACCCTCTTTCTGATCCTTCACCATTCAACAAGAAGAAGTGAGATTCATCCAAGAGTTTGTCGATCGAATCCTTCAAAGAATTCACAACTTGGATTCAGAAGCCTTTAAAGAATGTGAATTCTTTAAAACTTTTGAAGAACTAAATTTGTCAACCTTCTTCTACAACCCTTCGAAAAAGATATATCCATCATTAGTCAAAATGTTATTCTCAAATATTTACTTCATTAAAGGAGTAGTCCAATCTGAAGTAAAAAGGCATAATATATCTTTGTCGTTACAAGAGTTTGGAAATGTTCTGAATCTTTCTCACGAAGATATCATCCTCGAGTCCGGAGACAAAGATACAACTTCAATCTCAAGTTTGTTGTATCATCTCTAATGAAGAATCCATCACCCTCCATACCAAATTCATACATTGTTGGATACATTCTCCCTGATAGTCGTATGATCTATTATATGACCAATCACATACTTTTTCCAAAAAAAAAAAACTTTGGTCTCATAACTAAATTTGATGTTGAAGTTGTATGGTCAATAGCGAACAAAATCAAGGTGAACTCGACAAATTATGTAATCGAGTACAAGACGGAAAGCAAGAAAGAAGGAGTATGTCTGCTATATGATAATCTGATCACTAAGATTCTAGAACATTCAATTTTCTAGTACATTTTAATCTTAATCGAATCAACTCTTTCATTCAAAATAAATTATTGATTCCTATTTGAAATAAGATTTAGAAAATGTACAATGTTGAATCTAAGTTATTGATTTGTTTGTAGAATTTTGAAAAATGAAGAAAACTCAGTCTAATTTAGAACAAACTCAACAAAGCAAACATCTTTTTTTTTTAGAAAGATCTAACTAATACTTGAGGATGCCAATGATTTGTGTTGTGTTTGAAGGAAATTTGCAAGTATATTTTTAGATATTAAGGTTCTTTGAAACCATTACAAGATAATTTTTTTATTTGAAAGAGTTAGAGAGTATGGTGATATAGCATGTGGTATTGTCTTAAGATTATACCCCCATCCTTTCAAGTCCAACCTCATATTTTGTTAAGTCATTAACTAGTACACTCATAGTTGTGTTAACATGCCTTATTCAATAGGGTACATTATCTACCAAGAAATAGTTTTCAATTGACCCTTTGAGTAAGTCATCCTATACAACACCATGTGATCTTTCATATGCACTTGTCTCACACCATTCCAAGCCTCTCATCCATCTTATGGCCTTCCTTTACCGACTCTTTGTAACATACTGTTTCATCTATATATAACCATGGTTGCAAGCATTTAGGACCAACTCAAAAAATCTTTTACCACCCAAAGCATTTGAAGTTCCGAAACTAGAGTCTTTTTTTCAACACACATACATACAACAATGGTTTTTCATTTATCTAGTATCATCACATCAAAGGCATCGTCTTCAAAAGGTTTGAACATGCCAAAGGGATATCTAGCTGTGTACGTAGGAGAGAAAATGAAACGGTTTGTGATTCCCATATCATACTTGAACCAAACCTCATTCCAAGAATTGCTGAGGCAAACTGAGGAACTTTTCGGATATGATCATCATCCAATGGGAGGTCTCACTATTCCTTGTAGAGAAGATGTTTTCTTAGATATTACTTCTCACTTGAATTGAATATCTGCTAACACTTTGAGGATACTACAAGACTCACATATAGATGGCCAAGTTTTGTATCAGTATAGTTTCTTACCTTCAAAAGATTTTTTTTTCTGTTGTTATTATACTTGGTTGTAAAAAAGTTCTATCTCAATGAAAATTATATTATCACTTTGAAACATTAAATATTTAGTTTAGAATCTATAGATGATAATAAGCATCTATACATTCGACCATGTCTAGTCTTATAGCTACAAAATTGAAACATTAAATGTTTAGTTTAGAATCTATAGCTACAAATCAATATGGCTTCTAATATCACCATTTCTTGATAGGAAGTTGCAAAGCCATTTGCATTTTCATGTTTTTGGAAGATCAGTGGATAAAAGCATTTGAGTTTGCGGTTGTGATTAACTTTCCAATTGAGAAGTGACATTAACAAAGATGTCTTCTCTACAAGGAATTGTGAGACCACCCATTGGATGATTAAATCCGAATTCTTCTTCAGCTTTACAAAGAAATTGTTGAAAAGCAGGTTGATGCAAATATGATATTGGAACCACAAATCTCTTCTTTTTCTCTTCTCCAACATATACTGCTAAATACCCTTTTGGTATATTACTATTAGCTGGCAACACTGTCTTGCCTTTTGAAAATGTGCGGCAGAGGATATGCTTCTTAGCTTGCTTTATCAAAGGCAAGTGAAATGCCATTATTTTCTATGAGAAGTTGATAGCAATTTTTTTGAAGAAAATGCACTAGTTGATGGATATAGTGCAAAAATGTTGACAATGGAATTTTTTTGAGATGTTACATGTGTATATATAGAGAAGGATTACATTGATATTTTGAAGGATAACACCATGGTTCAATGTATTGTTGGGAATTTGTAGCAAGAAACAATAAATGTTGTAGAGTGACTTAGATTAGATATATAAAAAGTAAGACATGTGCCTAACTATTTGGTTCTGGATTCATAAACTTCCCTTTAGATAAGGGAAACATGCGTAGACATAGGACAAATTAAATCAAGATTCATGATTGATAGATTTTAGCCTTCTTATAAGAAAATTAGTTCTTTATAAAAATATCTAGAAGATCAGTTGGAATTTTTTGATTCTTTTCTTAAAGATATTAGATATTACATGACTTTATGAGATGAGTATATGTATGTTGAATATACATCTCATGTGACACTTTTGAATGATATATTTCAACTAAGGTTATAGTGCATAATAAAATAGATAATATGAAGATGTATATGATTACATGATCTATGACATGTTCATATATGAGAGAAGAGATTGTAGAAATATCTGGATCTATTGAGAAAGTTTTTGTTGGCGGTGATCCTAAAAGTTAAAAGACAAACAACGAACTCCTGAAGGCATGTATGGTTCTTCCTCAACTGATATTCCTAATATCTTGAATACTTATCAGATGAGAACAAGAGGTATATTGCATATATACGGTATATTGGAGACCATAGTTTATATATAGGATGATGTCCAATTAAGATTCTCATTATTTCGAAATGGATAATACTGACATCCACTCACATTTGAGCTTATATCCAATTAATTACTAAATAGAAATCTAATTAGTCTTTTAAATTTATGTGACCACTTAATCAATTAAGACTCTTAATTTTAATAAATAGCTAATATAATTAATATGGCTAAATTACAGTTTTGATACTTCTATTTTGGTTAATTCATGAAATCAATCCCCTTATTTATTTATTTATTTTAACAATTTTGGTCCCCGTGTCCATTTTTCATCTAAAAAATATTGATGTGCCATTTCTTATGTATATGTGGGCATATATTCTGAACGAGAGAGAACATAGAGAATATTTTTTGGTGAACGAAGAAGAAGAATGAATAAGTTGAGAGAAAGACGATGAAGAAGACGATCAGAGAAGATGATTTAAGGAATAAAATATCGTGAAAATGCAATGAGTAATTAATCTTTCTTATGCAAAGTCAATAAAAATATGTTATTTATCTAAAAAATAGTACATAACAACATTTTTTGGACGAAAAATCGACATGAGGGACCAAAAGTGTTTAAAAAATAAATAGAGAAACTGATTTCGTGAGTTTATCAAAATAGGAGGGCAAAAATGGTAATTTAACCTTAAAATATATATGCTCACATAATAATTGTTAAAATATAATAATCAAATAAGATTTAAACTATAGAATATTCCAACAATCTCCCACTTGAGCAATATATTTTTAATAATTATATCACAATTTTTTAGGTGCACATCTGAATGTTATTCATCTATAGATTTCAACTTTACAATCTGGCCCACCTCATACATCAATAATGTGGCAATCGCGACTATCGTCACTGACGTATAACGTGACAAAACCTCGACCACCATCAAATCAATATATTTGATGACGTAGATCGATATGAATGAGTGGCATAGAAATTTTATGTAATGTGATCTCTGAATCATGTTTATTTTCAAGTGGTTCATTTGAAGTCTTTATTAAGATAAAACTAAAATTTAAAAATTTAATATTTGCACAAATGATACAGAACTAGTTGTCACAAAATAACATCATAAACATTATTTCTGCAGAAAATCATAACAAAATTTATTTTTGTATCAAACACAAAAATAGAACATAAAAGAAGAGAAACTCTCACTAATTTAAGACATCATTAGTGAAATAATCATATTAAAGACATTAGTTGTCAAATCTTTGATTAGTAAGTCATCTAGCATAAAGTTTCTATTTATATGTTTTATCATTCAAAAACAACAACTTATAAGTCAATAAATTTTATAAGCCAGTTGCTGAAACATTATCCGACTGACTTATGTCACAATATAGCTCGAGTTTTATTTTAAAATGTTTTACTATATGCAACCAAGTGACATAAATACTTATAGTCATTTAGGATGTCAATTATATATAGACATCCAATAGGATCAGAGTCGAACATCCTAATAATCTTCAAATTATTCGATCTCTAATATGTGAGCACAAGTTCTTTTATTCTCTATAACAATCCTCACGGTTGCCTCATTTCAACAATCCAAATTTTGAATTGTTGTATCTGCCAAATGATCTCATTATATATACTCTTTTTCCATATGCATATACATAAGATAATACATAAGATTCCCAAAATTGAAAAATATAAAAAGCTTAATTTTCTAAATTTTCAAATTCTTTTTTGGACAATGATTGAGACTTAATAGTCTCCCTTGATAATTGAGATATACCCTAAGTTATTGTCTTTCATGTTAGTTTTATTTTCAAATATATATATATATATATATATATATATATATATATATATATATATATATATATATATATATATATATATATATATATATATATATATATATATATATATATATATATATATATATATATATATATGATAACTGGATGATACCTTGAGAATAATCTCTAAGTATCTAAATATCTAATACAAAAGAGATGTGCCCAAGATCTTTCATCGCTAAACTTTTGTTAGAGATTTTTTTGGTTTCACACAACAATCATATATCATTGCGCACTAAATAAAATAAAATTGACACATTAAACTAGGAACATAAACTTACTCAGAATGAACTTGTAAAATCCAATAATTTTTCACAATAGACATCTCAAATCAAATGAGACAATTACCTTATGAAAATTGTGGTATCACTAATGAGACAATTTCATTAACTCATAAGTAGATTTTATCTGTTTGCAAACCATAAACTTTATATCTATTGACACAAAATTTTCTCTCGTTGCACCATATTGTATTTCTTAATGTTACCATTAAAAAACACTAACTTGATATCCATCTTATGAAGCTCCAAAATTATAACAAGTAACAAGTATCACAACTATCATAATAGAGTATTTCAATTATACCGAATATAATTTATCTCTTCAGTCAATTATTTCTGACACTTGATGCTCTAGTTCTTGAGGATGTTGAGTTTGATTTTCAAGAATTAAAATTTTAATTTAATTGAGAGAAAGAATAACAATATCCGTATGAGGGTCCAAATTTTCTATATAAATAACAACTATATGAACTGAGTTAGAACCAATTATTTTTCACTCAATTTTTTTCTTTGACCATATCTCCCCCTCAAACTCAATATTCTCAAGATACATTACAACATTTTTTTCAAAATATTCTTTAACTTGAGAGTAAAGTTTATATTTCTCAAACTTTTTAACAAGTCTAGATTGTCACAAGTTATGACTGAATTAACTATAATAATATTTAATTTAAAAGACAAATTGAATCCATTATTTAAAAAAAGTTATAATATTAAAACAAAATTTTATTCGTTCACCAAATTGTCTTTTAAATACAAATTTAAGCTTATAATTAAAATTTTGGCACTTGCAATACATATGTCAAGATTGATGTCTCAACATAAAACACAATATCAAACAAGATGTTATGACATTTGTTGATAGAAAACCACGGATTGTGCAGAAAAATAAATTGTAGAAAATTAAACAACACAATCAATTGTTAACTCAGTTTGGTGCAATGCTTCTACTATGGGGGATACCAAGCCAGGAAGGAAATCCACTATGATAATAGTTCAAAGCCTAAATACTCACAGTTTAAAACTTCTCTCATAATCAATACCTTGTGCAACTTCTACCAAGGAACCTCTTAGATAAGAGAACCCCCTCTCACTTCCAATCACCACATTGATACCTACAGCCATAAATCTTGTGACTATACCAAAGAATCAAATAGAAGGTTCCACTTCAAATAAACAATACTTAGTTTTGATTAAAAATTTTAACTAAGAACAATACTCAACTCTTTGCTTAAAAGCTCGTGAGTGAGAATAATAACTTGATATAAAAGCAAGTAAAAATCAGTCAACCTCAATACATCAAAAGATACATGAGTGACATAAAAAGAACAAAAACACAAAGACCTTAAAAGACTCATAAAGCCCTAATTCTTATGTTGCACTGATCAGTGGTTTTTACACATGAATTATGCATTTATTTTAGTCATTGTTTCTTTTAATTGAATGGTGCTTTATTCCATTTTACAACATTTTATGTCTTGGTTTTGTATTTTAGTATTTTCATGTTCAAACAAATGAAACAGGATAAATCGGAACAGAAAAGTGCAGAATCCATAAGTTCAAAAAGAAGTGCTTCAGGAGCCCTGACACGGGTGGCCGTGTCAGGGGGAAGACTGGGAAAAATGAAGTTGGAAGCAGGATAGAAGGCAACACGGGTTCCCGTGTCACACGATACAGCCTGTGTTATTTCAGTTGGACTAATTGTTGGAATAGAGAAAGATCACATAAGGCGACACGGGCGCCCGTGTCACACGACACGGCCCATGTCAAGTCATCTGAAGCGTACGATTTGGAGGAAGATTCACAGAAGCTGACATGGGTGTCCGTGTCAGCTCAGGTGTTGAAAATTCTTAAGTTTGGAAATTTTTAGTGTTTTTGAATCCTAGAGGCTACTTTGGAATTTTGGCATCACCTAGCAAAAACAAGACTACTTAAACCTATTTTGTAGAAGAAAAAAGGACTTTTTTGACGGGAGAACAATTTCACGATAGAAGATTGAAGTCTATGCATGTTTTGGGAGAACAAATACCTTTCATGAGCGGAAGCAATTGAAGATCAGAGTTCACCATCAATTTGTGTAATGTCTATCTTTATTTTTATTGAATTTTCCTTGAACAT